GCGACTGGGTGTCTCGTCTAGGAGAGGACCTCGTGGCCTTCAACATGGGAGACGAAAAGGAAGGGGGTAAATGGAAAGAGAGCGCCAAGGACCCGAAGGTGTGGTACAACAAGGTCGAGGACGGGGGGCATGGTTCATGAGGAAATGGCACATGCAGGAGGCGGAAGCGTCCGCGAAGCGCCAGCGCGCGAGGGAAGCAGAAGCAGACAGTACGGCCATCTCAGGACCGAAGAGAAAGAGAGCCGGGGAAGCGGCGGTGGGGGAGAAGAACCGGCGACCGGGCACTGCTGTAGAAGCGAGTAGGGCGGCCAAGGCAGCACTTGTGGCGAACTATGTACCCGGCTGATGTTGTTGCGCCCTGTTTCCCTCCCTGCTGTATGCTATTCTCCTTTATGTATGTCCTTTGTATTGCCTTCGGCCTCTGTGCTGTGTTTCTTTTTTCATGACCTCCCTGACTAATCTGCTGTGTTGGGTACCTTGATCTCGCTTGCTGTTGCCTTTGTTTTTGTACGTCTGGCTGTCTGCCCATCTTCTTCCGCCTCTTTGTCCTGTTTGCTCCGTTACTCCCATGCCCTGGTGCGTAGTGCCTGGTGCTGGTACGTTACCCTTTGATTTTTTCTTTGGGCGGGTGTGGGAAGCGTCGTCCTTTATTTTTGTTTGTTTTTTATTTTGATCGGTTTCCAGGGGCTCTTCTTTTCTCGAACGGTCGGTGCGATAGCTGTTCTCTTCTTTATGTCATTTTGCTTTCCGTTTCCGAGTGGTTTGTACCCTATTTTTGTTTTGTTTCCCCGCGGCGTTGTATGTGCCGGGTTTTGAGACCACGGGCTCCCCAATTTTTGTGGACTATAGAGCTAATGTGAGAAACAACAACAACAACAACAACAACAAAAGCCCCGTTGAGGGGGCGACGCCGTATACAACAGGGGCACCTTGTACATCCCTGGAATCCATTTTTACGTACCACACATGTCACCCGGTATTCCGCTCTACTTCATTCCATGGGAACATCCCGCACCAACCACTTGGCATTGCAATAGGTATATCTATCTCGTTTGTCCAGTGCATACACGGAATATCCGCCATTGAAGGATAGACGAGCCGCCCCAATGTGTAGCGCCATGCTGTGAGCTGGAGGAGCAGCAAGTAGCCAACGGCAAATTTCTCATGGACAACAACATTTTGACACTGATCAACCGACCACCGTGGATCACCACAAGTCCAGGATGGTAGTATTTAGCCTACATGTGTCAGCAGTGGACTACTCCCACGATTGCTGCTCGGACTTGGGGATCATGACACCTTCAGCACCCGCTACCCGTTGCAGCCATTCTCGACGTCCGAGCCAAATTCAAGCCAGCGTTGGTCTACTGGAGGGCACAACAGCCCCTCTAACCTAACATCCGAGTCAAAGGCGCCCGAAACACCTCGACCAAACATTTGCCCTCGTGCCTTGCTCGTGACGACGAGAACACCGCAGGCTAGGCCGACACCAGACACCGACGGCATCAACCCTCCCTGCCATGGCTTCGTTATCGGCTTCTGCGGCAGGAAGAGGCGATGACAGCGCGCCCGACCTCCCGTTCCGTTACCAGTGGCCGCGTCCGGCGGTAACGGTAGACTGCCTGATCTACGCTCTGGACGAGGGGAAGCCGTGGATCCTGCTCATCAAGCGAAAGAACGACCCCTTCAAGGGGGGCTGGGCGCTCCCTGGTGAGAGTAAGAGATGCCTTCATTTGCGTTTCCTCCCCCTGGCAACGCGTGCCTTGTGACGAATGTTGATTTGGGTGGTTGTGGGCAAAACGGCAACGGCTCTCCAGCAGCAACAGCAGTCACACCTCCAGCACAACCAGCAGGAGCAGCAGTCACGCCAGCGGCGACAACCACAACAGCAATCAGCAACATTAGCCCTCGTGCATGAACTTCAACCGCTCCTCCTCTGTCCGTACGCCGACGGTCTCCCCTCTCAGGCGGCTTCGTGGATCAGAACGAGGGGCTCGACGCGGCTGCCCGGAGGGAACTGGAAGAAGAAAGCGGCGTTACGAACCGCACGATGGTGCAAACAGGAGCATACGGTGCGTTTGATACTACTGTAGTAGCCGGCTTCACCGTTAGTGGACACCCACCTAGGGCGGGCCGGGCGGGAGCGTCGGGTTAGTTTCACGTGAGGAAGGTTTGTCACGGATAGGAATGACAACTTAGGCAGCCGCCACACCGATTGCTATTTGTTGTACGCCAAGAATTGTTGGGGTGCTCGCCTGGCTTAAGATTAAGCTCCTACTCCTTCTCCCCCGAGATATTAGGCAGGAACCACCCCTACCGTTTGCAGTGTTCAGCAGTCGCAGCGTTCTTCTTTTCCGAGTGAACACAATCGCGTGAACAAAGGTCCAAGCGCCGACGTTTTTTGGGGCGATGTGTTTATGTGTCCAAGTCCTCCGGCAGCTCAGGTTTCATCGATCGAAGCAGCGTGAGTGATAGTTTGGTCTTTGGTGCATGCCTCAGATCAAATAAAGCACCACGCTCACCGGTTTCGTTATTCGCCAGTTCAAGGCCTTGGCAACACCGCCAGGATTGGTTGCCAACAATGAACGACGACGCGTCTTTGAGAAGCTATTTCGTTCCTCCCTAGCTCTCTTTCTCTCTCTCTCTCTCTCTCTCTCTCTCTCTCTCTCTCTCTCTCTCTCTC